CTGAGGAAAGCCGCTGGATGGCCCTCTGCTGAGCTCTGGTTTTGGGATGGTGGGAGCAGCTTTTGCTGTCTCCCAAACTTGCCCGGAGCCCCTCACTGGGCTGGGGTGCATGGCAGCTCTTCAGGTCAGTTGCAGCTACAGCTTAGGCAGCAGGAGCCACCGGCATCTCTCTGGAGCCCTGTACTCGGCTCAGGTACAGCAAGGTACCTTCCCACCTTGTCTTCCTTCAGGGAGGCTGGGAAAACTCCTTCCATCCCCAAAACTTCACAGAAGCCCACAGCTCAGCTGTGAGGCATGCAGAGCCGTTCAGATCAACAGCAGCTCTAGCTGGTGCAGGGGAAGCCAGTGATGATCTGAGGAACAGCCCAATGTCACTGTGCTCTTCAGCGGTTTTGGGGTGGCTGGAAGTAGCTTTTGGAGTACCCCAACTTCTCTGATAATCGGAACTCAGCTGAAAAGAAGTAGATGCTCTGACCCCAACCTGGAGCTTACCTCTGTATTCTGACACCCACCCAGCAGCCCTGAAGCTCCACAGTGAAGAAACTGTGTTTAGAGCAATTTTGAGCATTTGTGATGCTCAGTTGTGAGGTATGGAAGCTTTCCGTAGCAATAGACCTTTGGGACCTGTGTGCATTCAAGGCAGAGCAGAAAGGGCACTCGGAGCCACTCCAAGTCCAGTGCTCAGTTGGGGAAGAGCTGGGTGGCTCACTGCTCAGCCGCAGCAGTTTCGGGTGGGGAACCCCCTGAGTAGCCCCCTCGCTTCCTACTGCAGAGCTGGGAGCCACCCACACTTTCAGGTCAATAATAGCGATAGCTATGCTGAGAGAAGCAAGCAGAAACTCTCTGAAGCAAAGATCAGAGCTGGCAAACCGGTTGGATAACCAGAGATTACTGGGGAAAATCCTTGTAGCCACCAAACACTTCTCATGGGGACCAAATCTTCCGTGTCCACAGCAGCTATAGCTAGGCAAGGGAAGCAGCAGGCTGGCTGGCTCTCTGGGGAGTTCTGGCTTGGGGTATATCATCCTCATAGCTTGCATGAATCCCAGCACCCGGTTGGGAAATACGTTTGCTTCCCAGCTTGCTGGGGGCCTTGGAAAGTCTGGCGGAAGAAGTGGGTTCTCTAGCCCAACCTCCCTGAAAACCAAATGCTCAGCTGGAAGAAGTCTGTTGCTCGGTTAAGTATTAGGTTCACAAAAGGGAGGAACTGCAGATTAGTTCCATCAACTCAGAAGCAGCTTTTGGCTGAAATTGGATGGAGCAAGTGCTTTTGCCCATCCTTTGCTATTCCTCAGGGAAGTATAATAGCCTTCAGTTAAGCCCAAGTTTCAGGAGATCTCAGCAGTATACCCTGAAAGATAAGGTATCCCTGATCCTCTATGAAGCCTTACATTTGGTTGAGCATCAGGAAAATATTGGACAGCTGGACATCCTTTTGACTTCCCAGAGTCCACACTTAGGTGAGAGGGTCTTAAGCCCCACTCACCCTAACTTCTTGCAAAGTTCTGAGTGTATAGGGTCCATCGCCACAGCAACCTCCACCATCACCTCAGCCTCTACATTGAGCATGTCTTCTCAGATCTGACATCCCTGGTGAAGTATCCAGCCCACCCACTGTACATACACAGGAGAGTTTGGAAAACATCCAGGTCTCCGGTTTCTGAGGCTTATAAGAAGGCCCTTGAATATCCATTTCCTCAAACCCATGCCTCTGTGCTAGAGGCTTGTTTCTTAGTTCTTCTCACTGGTCTCAGTTGATAGTACAACGCAGATGTCCTTTGATGGTTTATAAGGAGGCTGACGGCTTTTGTCCTTGCTATTGCAGGGAAATATGGCTGTTTCAATGGTGTTTCTTTGCTCTAATATGGATAGTTTCCTGAAAGGGGTTAGAACACCTTCTGCCATTGAAGTTTGCTCTTTGTTTGATTTGTTTCTCCTGAATGGTTGGTGCTGGTGCTGGTGCTGGTGCTGGTGCTGGTGCTGTTGGTGTTGGTGTTGGTGTTGGTGTTAAAAAGGATGGATTTCTACCACCATAGCAGAGCCTGAAGCATGTGGGCCATTTCCCGCTCATGTAACCCAACATTTTAGTGGTATAATCTTGCAGTGGGTGGGGAGCTCTCCATGTTATAGGGTAGAATTTGAGGGCAAATTAAGTGTGCTTCATGTTTTGACCTTTATTCTGCCACTCATCCCAGGATACTACCCCAACATGGTGTCCTGCAGAAGTGTTGGACTACCATTCTCAGCCAAGGCTGATGGAATGATGCTGTGAATTATAGTCTGATAAAGTTGAGGAGCAACAGGTTAGTGAAGGTTGACTTAGTTGTTACAGGTGGCACCTGCACAGCACCTGAAATTATCCTTCAGGCAGGATACAATTAAAATCAAAGAGAGGACCTTCTTTCCAAATCTAAAATAAGCCTTTAAAACCTTCTAGATTCAAAAGGGTAGCAGCTCTGAAATGTCTACTGAAACCTGAGGGAAGAGCTTTTTCTTTTGCAAGTTTATAACTAATATTAAATATAATATTTTCTGCAAGCATGGGAAGTGCCCTATATCAGGAGCTTGGGACCTTTGTTGTTGGATGCCAGCTCTTATTCATCCTAGCCAGCATTGCCAATACTCAGGGATGAGGGGAACTGGAGCCCAGCAAAATCCGGAAGACCAGCAGTCTCCCATTCCCTGCCCTGCTTTGTCACATCCTGCTTTTTGGCCCCCATGTCTCCTTGGCTGGCTGCCTCGGACAAGAAGTATGGACTACATAGGCTAACTGAGAAAACTGTCACACTAGGAACTGAGGCATAGGATCAGGAACATAGTATGTGGATAGGAAGAAGACAGACAGGAAATCACCAAGTGCCACTGACTCCCCATGATTTATCATCACCAACAATAAAAAAAGATTCTCTTCCTGCAACTTCAAAATTAGGCTAGCAAGATGGAAGAAAACCTAGACAGCTTCATTCTGGCCATGAAAATAAATTATTGGGTGAACATGTGCTCAGACACACCCTTAAATCTAAAAGCATGTCCCCAAATAAGTATTCAGAGGCTATCCACATTTTGATCACCTCAACCTGAAGGCTGACAGAGTTGTGGTGAACAAGAGTATGAATCAAGCTCATTGATGAGAACTCTCTGACCCATGGAGGCAGCACCTCCAGCCTCAGAAATCTGGGTCCATCCATGAAACATTCCCATCACCAAATCCCCTCCCCTTTCCAAGCCATGATTCCAAGTCTGACAAATACTGGAGATGTTAGGAGGAGCCAAGGAGAAGAATACCTTGCTATCACCAACCTGTGATCAGAGACAACCATTGGAATGCCTTGCCCCCTGCTTCCACTCCCGATGTTGGAGCAGAGACAAGGAAACAGGGACCAGCATCGATGCCCTTATCCAGTGCTTGCTGGACTTTCTGCAATACTGGAGCCAGTAGATTTTGCGCAGTGGGAGAAGGGCAAGCAAAGCCTGGTGAAGCACTTTCATTCTCTCCGATGAGAGAAGCAAAGCCAACGACCAGTGGGCAAGCAGGGAAGATCAACTTTTCAATGTGCTGCATGGAGAACAATTATACTGGGGAAAAGCATATTGCAATTCTTGATAATCCTGCCTTTCTTTCCTGACAAATAACCATTCACTTTCTTCTAGTTACTCAATCCAAGATGAACGCTCAGTCCTCAAAAATCCAATGCCATTTTGTTTTTCTTCTCTCTTAGACCCTCAGCGTAGCCCTAGTCTTTTCCCCCTCATTCCACAAGAGGTGGGTTCAACAAATATCGACATTGGATGCTGGGCTACAGATTTCTACTCTGGTTCAATCACTTTTTCCTGGAAAGATTATAGAAATGACAGTGGCAATGCAATCAACTTTATGACATTTCCTTCAGTTTTCTACTCTGAGACATTCTCTGCAAGCTCTTCAGCCCGCGTTCCTGTTGCTGAATGGAAGAGTTGCTCTCCATTCTACTGCAGTGCTGGAGATAAAACAGTCAAAGTCGTTCACCCAAGTAAGTTTGGTTTGTGTTATTCCATCTGCCACCAAAAACAACCTGGACCGGTTCCATAAGGCAAGAAGCAAACAGTTAGAACATGCCATGGCAACCTTAGAAGTTAAAGGCGTTTCCCAGGTTACAGCTTCTACCTCTCAGTTATAAGGCACTATGCGACCTTATTCTTTCACACACACACCCTAATAATTGTTTTTGTGGGAGGAAAGAAGGAACGGTGAGAAGACTAGAGAAAGTTGGAAGCAGAATGATAGACTCGTGGACTAGTAGAGTTAGATGGGGCCAGTAAGGCCATAGAGCCTGCATTGGTTAGTGGGCAGTATAGAAATTAAATAAATAAAAAGAAGATGACATTGTTACTACAATTTGAGCTTAAGGCTGAAGGACCTCACAGTATAAGCTTTACCTGGGAACATCCACAGTGATCTTTTGTGCCATGTACTTTTATAGAAAGCAGTTTCTAGCAATGAAGACTGCCTGTGAACATTCATCCAATACCCAGCTAGAACGATACCTCACTTTATCTTCTCAGTATAAGTAGCCATTACTGAAGCCTAATTGAGACCAAACATTTCCCTTCTGAGCGTAATGATTGATTTCTTTAGAAGGCAAAGATGACTTGAAATCTTGACAAAGATGACTTGAAAACATGATTTGAAATCTACCCTTAATTAGCGATATGGGTGAATAGGATGTGCTTATTCTGTGGCGTGGAACTGTGTTATGCTCAGACCAAGCAATATTCTTTCCTTTCTTATTCCACAGATAATGTTTGCTACTGTGAAAGCGGCATTAGTAGAAGGATCCCTAGATTCTCTGGGCTTGACTGTGAGTAAACTTTTTATTACTGGGAGTGCTATAAATAAACTTATATAATGTTTTCCACGGAGGAAGCAAAGCAATGAACATAAAAAGCGATACTATCCAAACAGTAGCATTTTACCATAGAAGCACTATATGAAGTTGATTGGTGGGAGGTTTCGGAAAGATAAAAGGAAGCCCTCCACACAGCATACAGTTAAACTATGGAATTCACTGCCAGGGGGAGCAGTGATGGCTACCAAACTGGATGACTTTAAAAAGGGATTGGAGAGATTCATGAGGGAGGACACTCCCGTCGGCTACTCGCCTTGCTGCCTATGGGCTACCTCCTTTACTAGAGATGGCCTGCCTGCATACTCCAGTTGATGAGGAGCTTCAGCAGGAGGAGATCTTGCACCCATCCTGGTTTGCCACTGTGTGTACAGAGTGCTGGACCAGATGGACCTTTGGTCTGATCCAGCAGGCCTTTATGTCATCCTTATAATAAAAATGGCAATCATCCATGAAACCACACACTCTACTGAGTGCAACAGTCCTTAAGTGGTCAGTTCTTATGTTCAGGGGGAGAAGATGGCTCTTGAGAAGAAGTCTAAACACCAGAAAGCTTTCTGGAAGCCTGTCTAATGACGCTTAATCAAGCACTCCAGGGGAGGTGCTGTAACAGTCAATGCTCCACTATCCATGGAAGCCTCAAACGCGCTCCCTCTCGCGTTTCAAGGGACTGGACAGGAACAGAAGAACTGAGATGATTGCTGAGGTCGCATTGTCCCAAGTTGCTTGCTTGCATGGCTGGAGAAGCTTCCCCTTGAAGAGATGGCTTCAGGAGGTCTGGCTAGATGGTGCTTCTGCTGCCTAGAGGGGATTGGCAGTAGCTCAGCATTCTCCAGCAGCCTGAGTCCCACCAGACCATTGTAGGACACAGGGGGGGATAAGAGAGATGCTTCCCTTGCTGGCTGGTTCACCCCATATGGGGCTACTCTTGCTTTGCAAGACCAGATCATGTGGGTGAGGGTCCAGGATTTAATCCCTGATTGAGAAGCTAATGCAGCATGCATAATAGAGACTTGGATGAAGGAAGACAGAGGAACTATTCCCTGGCATTGCAGGTTTAGGGGACATGAATTGGCAGAGGCCTAAAGCAATTGTTCCTTTGACCACATGCTCCATCTAGCCATTTGCCAAATGGACATATGTGCTAGCCGAGTAAGGGTGAAGATTCTGCTGCTGTGTCATATTGCTCAACAGTCTGAGCTAGCTGGAATAATCTCAGGCCTGGCACTGGGTCATCCCAGGCTTCTTGCACTGGAGGGATTCCATCATTCATGCTTAGGTCACTTCATCATGTTCACCATGGCATCCATGGATTGGTCCCAACTCATCGCCATCCCTGTGTATGCAGGACACACTTTATATCTGATATTCTCCAGTGGATTTTGGGCACTAGATTTTCCCTTGAGTGGAAGAGACATGTGTGGCCCCATTGTCACACACAAATCACTATCCAGTTAGTTTGGGGAGGTCTACCTATATGGATCTAGGCGGGGCAGGGGCTTAGCATGGTCCACCCTAGCCCCTGGTGTCTCTAAGCCACTTGGGATTATCCTTTTTGTGTGTCGGTACTGTGGTACATTTGAGCCCATGGCTAAGCAGTGGAATATTGGAATGATATGAACATCAGCAAGACTCTTCTTTGTAGCGATCAGAAAAAATGTTCCACCGAAACCTCGGGGAACCTGCAGAAGTACTCCCAGCCTACTATGGCATTTATCCATTTGTTATCAGGAAGGGCTTGAAACAATTTTCTTTCTTAGAATATTTACTCATTCAGACAATAGATATAGTTATTTTAGGCTTTAGTCTGCAGTTTGTTTTATAAATTCAAAAGCATTTATGGATATTCATATACACCAAAAGGGTCATGCGATAATACATGAGATTTCTTTTTAAAAATACATATTCACACCTAGATAGACTATAGGCCATGCCTTGAAGGCACATACAGCATACATATTAGCATATCGCCAGTCTAGATGCTAACACGATATGATGTTCAGTGGGAGCTGTTTTTTGATTTACTGTGGAAATGAATATGGTTATTTATTTACTTATTTGCAAAGTCATATGCCGCTGAATAGCCCAATAGCTCTCTAAGCAGCTAACACTAAAAATATTAATTACAATTAATTAATTAAACATTACAATTGCAAGTACAGCAGGAGGAGCGCAGGGGGAAATCTGGAGCAGAGTAAACTCTTATAATCAAGTACTAATATTCTTGTTGCCCTTCAGCTACTGGTGACAATTCTTACCCAAATGTCAATGTGGAAACCATCCGACCGTCCTTTGCTGATATTTTCAAGAAGGACTCAGCCAAACTGACTTGCAAACTCTCCAACGTACCCTCTCATGCGAACTTTTCATCTCTGGATGTGACCTGGACTCAAGGACTTAACAAAAAACCACTGGAGACTAAACTGGGGCAGCCCATGGATCAGGAAAATGGATTGCAGTACATTGAAGCTACAGCCACCGTGTATACGGCTGAGTGGAACAGTGGAGAAACATTCACTTGCAAAGTGGATTTTCCAGGCATACTTCCTAAACCTGTGGAAAAATCTATGAAAAAGCCCATTGGTAGGTACCTATTAACATAATCCCATGAAAGGATGAAACACCGTGTCCCTTGTTTCAGCAGAGGCAGGATCCAGGCTGTTCAGAATAATTCAAAACTGCCCTCAGCATATTGAACTCCACGTGAGTCCAAAACAAATTCAGCACACCCCAAGAATTCCTTGTTCCAATGCCTGTTAGATCGAATGAATCCCCCTTAGAGTATCCCAATGAATGGTGGATTAGACGAATGCCCCACCTGTGTGCCTGCCGTAGTCAACCAGATGCCAGTGAGAAGTCCACAAGCACGGAATAGCTCTTGCTTAGCACAGCTGCTCTTTCGTTCTTGCTTAACGCAACTGGTTCGGAACTTGATCTATTAGGATTCTTCGAACAGACCAAACTGAGAACCTGTGCCCTGATCTTCAGGGAATTCGAAGATCAGCTTCCTATCTAACAGCCAAAGCAAGCACACTGATCATCACCACTGAATAAGTTGCCTTCCAACCTTTCATCCTTTGAGTGATATGGATCCCTTTTCAATCCACACTCTTCTACGATGGAAGAGAAACTGAATCCTCCCCTTTTGCAAGGGCAATTCTGCATTAATTTTTGTGGCCACCAAGATCTTGCTGTCTTATGGATTTCATGACGAGTGACACAGGCAGCCCAGAGCTCATCAAGATCCTCCTGGGCCACCATAACTGGCTAGCTTGACTTGATAGCTCATGTGACATAGATTTGAACTGGTAGCAAATGCAAACTCCTCAGCCCACCTCAGGAATCCACTACGACTGAAGGGGAAAGAGTGCATAAACAAATCTCTCTCTCTCTCTCTCTCTCTCTCTCTCTCTCTCTCTCTCTCTCTCACACACACACACACACACACACACACACAGACTACACACAAAGATGCCATGATCTTCTGTCCCTTAGAGACAACCATACAAACTAGGTCAGCACCTCTGGTCTGGTCAATATCTGGTCTGGTCTCACTAGTTCACCTACTGGGAGTTTTCCATTCTGGTACAAAATGTGTCATTCTCCCTCTCAACCACGCTACTCTGCAGAGCCAAGAGGTCAACAGTTAAGTGACATCCTATGGAACAAGGAAATCACAGTTAAGAACTGTAAGGAATACATATTTTGTATCTTCTAATACCCCTTTTTTTCACCATCCAGGTGGCCCCAGCTCCCCACCATCAGTCTACATCCTTCCCCCTCCAACAGAAGAGCTAGCTTTGAAGGAAACGGCCACCCTCACTTGCCTGGCGAATAACTTTTACCCCAATGAGGTATTGGTGCAGTGGTTACAGAACAATCAGCCAGTGAGCAGATCAAAATACATCACCAGTAAGCCCACACAGGAGTCTGAGAAACAGAATTCATACTACGTCTACAGTAAGTTGACAATCAGTGAACAGGACTGGAGCAACAACGACCAATTCACCTGCGTGGTGGGGCATGAGGCACTGCCCCTCTACACAACCCAGAAGACTATAGACAAGACCATGGGTAAACCAGCTGTTATTAATGTTTCCTTACAATTCTCTGATACTCTCACCACCTGTTACTAACCATCCTCCAGCCCCTCTGCCTCCTCTTGCATCTGATCCTCTCATTGTGTCTCACCCTGTTTTTTTGCTGAGTCTTCCATGTAAAATTGTGGGGAGGAGGAGAGATCCGAGCAAGATGTGTCTTAAATGTTAAAGCATTGTCTGGGCACATCTTTTTGACGAAAACAAACCAGCTGCAATAAAAAGTGTTCTTCAAAACAAAGAAAACTTCTGGCTTGCTATGAGCAATTTCAATAGGAAAGTATATTCCACAGGTTTATTTCTGGACAAGCTCTATCCAACTTGGCTTGATTTCTCTCCTACTCTTTAAGCAAGGTCTTGAGACACCAATAAAGCATTAATACACATAAACATTCCCAATTCCAAGCACATGAGATGCTTCCATTTTGGGTCACCGAAACATATTTCTCACCTAGCAAATGTACTATATAATAGAGCTGTTGGTGCCATCAAATTAATCTTCTAGGTCAGTGATGGCGAACCTTTTAGAGACCAAGTGCCTAAACTGCAACCCAAAACCCACTTATTTATTGCAAAGTGCCAACACTGCAATAAAATCTGAAAACTGAGGTTTTAGTTTAGAAAAACCACCTCACAGCCAGTCCAAGCAAATATACATATATATATCCCTGGCAGCACACTGACGGGCCATGCAAAAGCTCGGAGGAGTCGCAGCTCATGCGTCATGGCTCATGACATCATCACCTGGCACTGCTACTCCTTTCCGAGCATGCGCATGGCCCCTATGTGCGCTGTGATCCGATGCTCAGCTGCTGGGGCGATGCTGAGGTGACTTGGCTCACATGCTGACAGAGAGGGCTCTGCATGCCCACTGTGGCACTCGTGCCATGGGTTCACCACCATTTCCCTAACCCTACCCTGGGGCACACCCCTAAACCTAATATAGGGCTAAAGTTCCATTGGAAACAATACGATTTTGAAAAACACTTCCTTGAGTAGCTTTTTCTGCCCTGCTCATCATTTCTGCCCACTCTAAACACATTCCAACCATCAAAATCATGCCAGGACACCTCGTTGTTCTAACCCTAACCCTACCCTGGTGCACACCGCTAACCCTAATATAGGGCTAAAGTTCCATTGGAAATGATACGATTTTGAAAAAGCCTTCCTTGAGTAGCTGTTTCTGCACAGTTCAACATTTCTGCCCATTCTAAACACATTCCAGCCATCAAAATCATGCCAGGACACCTCATTTTTGTAACCCAAATCCAGTGATGGTAAACCTTTTAGAGACCGAGTGCCCAAACTGCAACCCAAAACCCACCTATTTATCGCAAAGTGCCAACACTGCAATAAAATCTGAAAACTGAGGTTTTAGTATAGAAAAAACAACTCACAGCCAGTCCAAGCAAATACACACACACACACACACACACACACACACACACACACATAAATATATATATATAAATATCTTTGGCAGCGCACTGACCGGCCATGCGAAAGCTTGGATGAGTCACGACTAATGCGTCACGGCTCGTGACATCATCGCCTGGCACCGCTATCCTTTCTGAGCATGCACATGGCCCCTATGTGCACTGTGATCCGAAGCTCGGCTGCTGGGGCGATGCTGGGGCGACTTGGCTCGTGTGCCGACAGAGAGGGCTCTGCATGCCCGCTGTGGCACTCGTGCCATGGGTTTACCACCACTGTTCTAGGTCAAAGGATAGCATTTTTGAGGCTTCCTTGCATACATTCTGGTATAGAACCAGCAACAAAATTTCTCAGCACAAACCTGTAAACCTTGAGAATATAGCCTTAAAACCTCCAGACATACTTGTGTGCATCAACAAGGCTTGAGAAGCTAAAAGGACCCTAAGCTTCATTGATTTTGCTCTCATGAAAAACTACTCCGGTCTGGACAGAATTAGCATGTGCACATGCAGGCATGTACATCTCTTTTCCCATTTGCAAGGTCCAATCAGTTATGAAGGGGATGAGTGGTTCGCAGGATCAAAAGAAAGGCGGGAGCCAAAACAGACAGCCACTCCAATACTTCCTCCTAAGGCCAAATCCCTAACACCAGAAGCATCCCTAACTGAGGGTTGTTCTGGAGTTTTTATCACATGCGCACAACTGTAGTGTGTCCACGGAGGCACATTCAGAGAAATCGCAGGAGCCAAAGACTGCAGTCTTGGCTAGTCTGCAGGAGCCAGCGTTAGGAAAAAGAGGCTGGAAGCAGAGACAAAATGTTTCTAGGGAGGTATAAGCCCTGTTCCTATTCTCACAACCCATAGAGTTATTGCTTGTCAGTAAAGGAACTACTTGAAGTCTTCTGTTGCTCCATTCAGATTTAACTGGGTTATGTAAGGATTAATGAACAAACGCTGAAGTGCAGCTAGTTCCCATTTCCATCCAGTTTACCCCATTTCTTCCCAGAAATGGCAGGCTCTGCAGTACAAGGCAAAACAACAGTGATTCAGCAAGTATCCTGGCACAGTGTATCCCCTCTCTGTTAGTGGACCATCAAAGTTTAGATTCCACATTTGGAGCAACAGATTGTCTTTGGATATGATCCAAAGAAGAGAAGGCAAGATTGGTGTGATCACACTGACGCGTGGGGACAGACATGCAGTCATGCACACGCAAGCATGCACATACCATGTTAAGCGCAGGAGACGCTGCGTTCGCGTCTCCGGTGCCACCTTCTCATTGGTACCTTTGCACAAATGGCCTTCATGTCCAAACTGACTTAGGCCTTTGCTAGCAGAGGGTTTTATTGTGTGCTTGTCATCCTTCACTCACATTTATTTATTTTTTATTTATCATTGAATTCCACGTTTTTAGACCAAGGGCTTTCTAAGCAGATTACAGCTGACAAGAGCTTTAGACAAGAACAACAACACACCATCCTTAAATGACTTGTCCTTGTTTTGGCCTTCTTTCTCTAATTGTTTTTCCCATGAACAGGCAAAAGGCACTGTGGGGGGCAGGTTTGGTTGTCTGTTTGGCTCTGGCAAAAAGACACTTTCTCCAGTATAGTGCACAAGTGCACTTTGTTCTGCTGTGTTACAGGAAAGGCGCTGAAAATCTGCATTTGTGCAAGAGCACAAGGGGTTATAACTAGATAGGAGACATCACCTGCCAGAGTAAAGTTATGTTGTCATAGGTGGCCACAGAAAGAATGAGATATAATGGGCAAATAGAGAATTCACACACAATCTGAAAGAAGTAGTGGTAAGCCACAACTCTAAAACACTTTTGTAGAAAAGCTCCTAGAGTTCTTATTATTATACCACAGATACTCTTATAGGGCCCCTTATAGGCTCAGAAGTCCTACATGCGATGCTAAATTCTCACCTTTGGCAGAAGTAAAGCTTGCGAACTCTGGAAACCCACTTGTTGGAAAATTCCAAATGACACCCGAAAGTGACACATAAAAGAAACACCCACCCAAGAGCATCCTCAGGATGAAACATTTCCTTTTTCCTTCATTGCAGAGCAGATTACAACAGAAGTAGGTAGAAGGTAGATCTGCAGATGTTTTGGACTTTGACTCTCAGAGGCTTCTGTTAGCAAGTCCAATGGCCAGGAATGCTAGACATTCATGTCCAAAGATTGAGAAATCTACTTTCTGCCCACTCCTTTTAAGCTACAATTGCATCCCCATCACTGTCAAAACTTTATCAGGCCATGGTACAGATGAAGTTCATTTGTATGATTGCATAACTGCTTGTGGCTAGTCATATACACCCAAAGGCCCAAGATATATGAAGTCTCTCTAAAAATCTACATGCTCACAAGTGAATAGACTTTAAGCCATGCTCTGAAGGCACATATGCCAACAATTATTCCATTAAACAAAGGCCACAATACCCACCTTAGCTTCAATATTCTGCAAAATCTCAGTTCATCCATGTCCACAGACACCCCTTTTCAACTAAGGCAATTCTGGCCTTATTTTTAGAGATGAAAGAAGTTAAGGGAGATGAAGCAAACTCTCCTGCATTAAATGTTCTCCTAATTTTAAATATTTCCTCTATTCGAGATTTTGTGATTTGGGGATTTTTCTGTAAAGAGCAGTGCAGAATGCTGGATACTTGATACAGTTGCCTTAAAATTCATTTGCAAATCTCTAAAAAGAAGCCTAAAAATGAAAAGCAAATTTTGAATGTGTGAAGATTTTCTGGCTCGGTTTTTACTTGACCTGCACCTTTAAGATCCAAATGAGCAGGACAGGTATCAAGATATAAACCCTGTAGTATTCAGAAATTCTGAGGAATTCACACCCACAACAAATTGAAAAGCAGATTCTCATTAGGGCTCATTAGGCCAAATTCTTCTATTTGAGTCCTTGTGGGTTTATAGCCAGCCAGAACCAAAATTACTGGACCAGATGAAACAATGATGTGGGATGATAGGTGCCTTCATAGGTTGAGGGCACTACAAGGGGTTCTGCCTCTGATTCAATGTGCTCTGGTTGGTCTCAGAAGGTCCAAGAGAAGGAAACTCCCTTTTGCATCTGTTCTCTGATTTATTGTGGATTGTTTCAGCTCTCTTCTCACTTCTCTTTTGTTACTCATTAGGTAGTCGTGTTAATTGCTCCTCAAACGTCCACGTGGAAACCATTGCACCATCCTTTGCTGATATTTACCAAACCAATTCAGCCAAGCTGACGTGCAAAATCTCCAACATTCCCTTTGAGTTCAATATTAGCATGCTAACTGTCACCTGGACACAGGGATCTGAGAAAAAAACACTGGACACTGAAGTGGGAAAGCCCATACATCAGGAAAACAAGCGGAAATATATTGAGGCTACAGCCATGGTACCTCCAACCGAATGGAACAGTGGGGAAACTTTTAATTGCAAAGTTGTTTTTCCAGACTTACTTCTTGAACCTCTGGAAAAACCTCTGAAAAAGCTTACTGGTAGGTGCCTATTAACATAACCCTACAAAGAGATACAGTATGAATGTCAATAGTTTCTGTAAGTCTCTGGGTGTGAGAACTCCAAAGTCTCTAAATTGTCTATCTTTAGAATATTTCACACTACCTGAATCAAGAGGATTTGGTGGTGGGTTGGGGAAGTCTTCCAAAGCCCATTCAGTGCACCCAAAGAAGTCCTTGCTTCAACATCTGTTAGAAAAAAATTACCTCCCCTTCTGATGACTCCGCAAATACCTAAAAACATAAGAAGAGGTGTGATGGATTAGAGTGGTGGATTAAAGGTCTGTCTAGTCCAGTGTTACATGGCCAAGCAGATCCAAATGGGAAGCCCACAAACAGGGTAGCCCTCTTTTGTTCTTTCTTGTTATGATGGCAACTGCTTATAATCAGTTCCATTACAATTCTTTGAGAAGACCAAATGGAGAAACTGTGATTTGGTTAAGGTCAGTGAGGGTGCTTCAAGGATCTGAAAATCAGTTTCCTGGCGTATATCCAAGTCAAAGACACGGATGGTTAACACTGATTTAGCTTTTGTAGACTCATACTGGTCCACGGCCACATTGAAGCCACACTTTTCTACAATAGGACAGAAACTGAATTCCTGTTGAGAATGAGAGGGACAGTTGTCCTTGGCACACACGCCCGGGTCGTGCCAATCTGGAGTCAGAGAAGAGGAGGAGGCAGAGGGGCCAGGAAATTTAGGGCTTCAGGCTTCGAGATGAGAGATGCAGAGGAGCTTATCTCAAGGTCACTCCCTCCAGGTGCCCAGGCAAGCTCTGGGAATAACCAAGGTGTGCACCTCTCAGGAAGGGACATGGACAGGGAGTTCTCAAGTCAAATGAAGGCTCTTGACCAAAGACATGACATCAGGAGGGGAGGGCTAGCCAACTAGAGGGATGGAGTACAGAGAAAAGGCATGCTCACTTCCAAAGGACCCTCCCAGAGGGATGAGGCCCAGAGATACTCAAAAGAAGGGTTCCTAGGAGTAGGCACTGGATTGGGTTCAACAAACCACTTTATGCCTTCTCAGAGGGTCATTCTGTCATGATGGAGTTTATTGGATATACTTTGGTGAATAAAGAGTTTTTGCGAAGAAGCAGTCTGCAGTCTTGAGTGTGTGAAGGGAGGAAAACCCAGCTCACAAGATTTCTGCCTTTCTCTTTTTCACCATCCAGGTAAGTCCAGCTTCCCACCATCTGTCTACATCCTTCCACCTTCCGAACTAACTTTGAAGGAAATTGGCACCCTCACTTGCTTGGTGAAAGGGTTCTACCCTGGCGACATCTTTGTACAATGGCTCCACAATGATCAGCCAGTGAGTGATGAGGACTACTTTACCAGCAAGCCGACAATGGAGTCCAAAACACCCGAGCGGTTCTTTGCCTACAGTATGTTGAACATCAATCCACAGAACTGGAGGTCTGGTGACATGTACAGTTGCCTGGTGGCACATGAGGCATTGCCCATCAACACAACTCAGAAGGCTGTAGGCAAGAACACAGGTAAACCATTTCTTCCCCACAACTCCTTAATAGTGTCTGAACACAGCCAGAACTTGCTACTTACCATCATCAGAACTTCTTCTAATGCATCCTCCGCCCTTCCACCTCCGATAGCCTGTTGCCCTGGCTGTGTCTGCCCCAGTTTTATTATCGATTTGTCAATGGAAAAAGTTAGGTGAGGATGACAGTGAGTATCTAAGATAGATGTGTCTTAAAAGTTAAAGCATTATCTGGACACGTTCTCTGAAGAAAACTATTCACAATATAGTTTGTTTTTGAAAACAAAGAAAATCTGACTTGTGAGAAATGTTGGTAGGAGAGTTAAGATGGATTTTCAAGTACCCAAGGCTGGAATGAGACAACCAATTCCCACTGGAATGCTATGGGAAACAACACTTCTTGGAAAATTCCACCCATAGCAGCTTGCCCAGTATCAGCATGGTATTTCAATGGATGCTAAATGCATGATCTGCCAAAGGTAGTTTAAGAGTTTGCATTTCATAACTGCATTCATATGCTACTTCCTGCCCATCCCTATTTTATACACTACTGTATCTTCATTATCGTCAAAAGTTGTATTAAGCCATAACTGAATATATACATATTCAGTTAGGTAATGATAGGTAATGTTTGCAAGTTGAACTCTATCTGCACAATCCTTTCAAGAAGGACTTTGTCGAAGCCATGCAGACCAAATAGCTAGGAGAGGATTATGTTGAATGGAATCTTCCAGGTGTCTTCTTCATACTTCATACTTCTTCAGTTTCCCAGTCTGCATTCTCCTTGTGTTACTCTTTCTTGTTCCATTCCTTGACTGCACTGAGACTCAATCTTCTCTCTGAACAGAAGCAGCTGACATCCATATATTCTCCGAAGCTTATCTAGATAGGACTATGGATATTGATGAAGATGAAGAGCTCCAGAAAATCTTATCAGTTCTTTCCACTTTCATTGTCCTCTTCCTTGTAAGCCTTTGCTACAGTGTCACTGTGACAGTCATCAAGGTAAGATAATAATGACAGAAAGGTAGGGTAATCAGTTGAAATGTCCTTGATTATGCTTTGTGAGCAGAGGGCCAATAATTGTGGAAGGGAGGCGAACTGAGAAAGAAAGGAGTCAAGCTAGTACATAGAGTGCTTGTGATCTGCATGTGGTGAACCAGGCCAAGACCCCAGAGCAGACTTACAAACCATTAAAAGTGTCGGTTATTTAAATACCTGCATATTTTAAAGATTAAAAAAGGGGAATGGAGAAGGCCTTTCCTTTTCACTGTGCAGATGTTTTACTGCTTCCATCTTATTTATTTTATTTTTATTATTTATTTATTAGAACATTTCTATGCCGCCCCTTGCCGAAGCCTCGGGGCGGCTTACAACACAATAAAATACAATAAAATACAAAAATAACAATATAAAATTAAAATTAACAATATAAAATAAATAAAAGATATAAAAGATATAAAAGAAGTTATAAAAGAAAAGAAGTCGCCCTGGCCAAGAAGTCGTCTTGTGTAATTCCAACCCTCTAACTGTTAGTAATATAGACTCATATCCGTTCCAGCTGTGCTGGAAAACCAAACCATCCTCTGTGTAAGAATTTCTATGCTGTTGGAAGACACCTTTCTCATATCATTGCATAATCATAGTAACAGGGCAATTAGTTACAAAAGAGTGGACTGTTTTATGATTATTTTTGCTCCCGTTACATTAATTTTGCTTCTTTCTCCATTGCAGATGAAATAGCAGTCTATGAACAATGGCCATTGTGTTGCCTAAAAGACTGTACATTTTTGCTCTTTCTTTGACAACATAATCCAGAATGTATATACCTCCAACCTCTCTTGTGGGGAGAAGGGACAATTGATTTGGAGATACTGAATTTTACTCTTGATTTATATGTTCCCATTAAGGTGTAATCCTGGGCACACTCATCTGGAAATATCCCCCTTCAAATTTAATGAAGCTAATGTCTGAGGAAACATGCATAGGGTTTCATTATTAGTATTCCTTTTCAGGGCAGAAATAGATCTTTCAAACATATATAATAAAGTTGACTTGCTTGAGCATGTACGCATTTCCATGACTCGGTGACAGTCATATTTTATTTAAGCAATTGTCTGTCTAGCCTAAGGCTGTAAAGAAGTTTTTGAAATGTTCATGTTCAGAGCAATACACTGAGAACTCTTCCCCAGTATGCACCGATGACATGCTTGTTTTTATTGTTATATCCTGTGGCAATAAAATTGACTTTCTCATGAGCACATTATCTTCCCTAGGAATAGGAATATTATCTATAGTTGCCTTCTGTAAGGTATGAGTGAATCCCAAAGTGCAGCCACAGACAAAATGGTCACAGCTTATTGGGGAAAATTGGACTTCTGACTTCTCAACTTTCAGTTCATTTTAAATATTGTCTTTTCTGATCTGGTTAAGCTGCCCCTCTGGCTCTCATATAATTTCCAGAGCCACTTCAAACTTCCCTACACTGGAAAGGTTGAAGGAGTTGGGATGCTAAACTGTCCTGATTTCCTATTATTCATAATGCAAGCAAAACTGCTGTGCAGAGACAAGGGGGTGGGTTAAGATGGTGTGTGCGTGCATGTGTGTGTGTGAGTGTGTGTGTGTGTGTGTGTGTGTGTGTGTGTGAGAGAGAGAGAGAGAGAGAGAGAGAGAAGGGGAGAACGCATACCTGTCTTGTTTGTCCATATGTGTGGATGTAAACATGGAGACCCGCTTTACAACTCTTGGAACACAATCCTATGCAAGTTTAGACAGAGGAAAGATCTACAGTTCCCAGCATGCCCCCGGCCAGCCATGCTGTCTGAAATTACCTAAGATCACACCCTTTGTCTTTTCACACTGCAGTGCTCAGGAACAAGCCCCACTGGACTCAACAGGACTGAAACATAGAAGCATAGAAACAGAGCGAGTCAGAAGGGGTCTCCCGGGCCATCTAGTCTGACCCCCGGCTCCAGCCAGCTCCACTCACGACACGCCCACCATGTGCACGTCCAGCCTGTCCTTGAACACCCGCACCGATGGGGCCTCAACCACCTCCCGTGGAAGCCCATTCCACACCCTCGGGGTCCTGACTGTCAGCAAAAGATGGAACTGCTAACTGACTTCACAAAAGCAAAAACACATCAAAGGTGGAAAGTCTGCAGCATACTTTCAAAGACAATTTGTCCTCAAGTCCATTTTTGACAATAGAAGCCATTTCCCTGCTCAGAAGAAAGGCACGCTGCAGGAACGCTTTACATTTTCATTATCATCGCTACTAAAAACCACATTTGTAATACTATTACAGGATGAATACTCTGAATGCTAAAAACTCTAAAACCCTATATGCATGCTTGGTCCCATTTTGTCGAATGAGGTAGGCCTGAGGTGGAACATCAATAGGGGTTGTTAATTTTAGACTCCACCATCTTTGGGGCGGGGGGGGGTACTACAGATGGCGATGTACATTATTTCATTGACTTCAAAATATTACTTCCTATCCTTTGTTTGTTTGTTTGTTTCACTTTAGTTCGCATAGTATTTGTGTGCCTTGGGCATGCTAAAAGTCTCAGAATCTGGGAATCCCTTTCCAGGTGTAAAATAAGTGCTTGCAAATGTTTTTGGCACTTTTCTGTTGCAAAGGTCATGGGCATTGATTTCAAGGCTTCAAGAAGGATCCAAACTCTGCAGAATCCTATTCCTGAGAAAGCTACACCCACCAAATGCTTAAGGCCACAATCCTATACTTAGACAGAGAGGGGTCTGTCCACTGAATGTGGGTTGTCATTTGAAGTGTGGGTTATTCTCTTGTCTGAACCCAGGCAAAATAACAAACCATAACAAATAAACCCAAAGTGAGGAACCCAGATCGCAACCCAAAAACAAACCATGGGTACTTTTCATGGGTTGTTTGTGGTTAAAAAGCCAGGGCTTGTTAGCACAACTGGCTCAATGACAACCCATGCCCAACCTGTACTCAGGCAGTCTTGAGTGTGGGTTGTCATACTGTCTAATCCCAATTTCTGGCTTCTGCCATCTGGCAAAAGACTGAAGGCCAGTGGGAGGATACGTCCTGTGACTCCCAAGATTAATAGCAAGGCATGGAGGGAAATATTGGGTGCCAGCCTTCATCTGCCAGGTAATCACTCACTCTGCATACCACACCGCTCTTGTCCAAAGGAATTCCTTGGCCTCCGACTGCCTGTTGCCCTGAGTTTGAAGAATCAAGAGGCAGGAATCCCCACAAGGGAAGATCAGCCTGGCCCAGACTTGACACAAATGCTGACTTATAGCTGACCACTTCAGCCAGAATTGCTGGCTGGGGCATTCTAGGAATTATGGGACTTTTTTCACCCCCCGAAAATGTATAGGATTGCCTCTTAACTGCAATGCTGAGAACAGCTGAGAAAGAAGCCCACTCCTTGTCACAATCCTGGGTTAACTCCTTTGATCAGGCAATCCTATGCATGTTTACTCAGATGTAAGTCCATCAAGTTCAATAGGACTTAATAAATGTAAACAGCACTGCAGCTTCAGTGTGTGTCCTGCTTTCGAACATTTGTCAGTAAATCTTATTTTTTAAAAAACCTTGAGTGCCCTGGAGTAAAAAGGACTTTTTTTTTTTTTTGGCCCTGGACCAAACTTTATTTGATGAAATAATTAATCAGATCTAAGGAAATTTTTGAAAACACCTGGGTTTTTCTTACCCGGATTAATCCCAGCTGTAATATTTCATAACCTTGTTTTTCTCAGCAGTAGAATGTTTAGATGCTGAAAACACTGAAACAAGAGAGAAAAAGGGGAAGTCCGTGGACCTAACATGTTTCACAGGGCATCTATTGAATCCCAATTATATCCTCGGAGGGCACACCCATGGGGCTTTTTTCACAGCTTCACGCCAGCCTTAATGACATCATTAACAGTAATTGCTCTGAAAACAGAACAATTACAGTTACAGGAAAACGCTGAAGCCTGAATCACAGCAGAGATTTATTTATTTATTTATTTATTTAAAGCTTTGATATGCCGTCCCTTTGCTACATTGCCACCAGGCTCCCTGCTCACATATGCCATTGGGCTCCGGACTTTTCATTCCCATCCTGGGCTACCTTCCTGCATGCTTCTTGGCTCCGGGAGGTAGGGGTGTGGAGAGGAAAGGGGGTGCTACGGGCAAGGCCATGCCAACAAGGAGGCTCAACTAAGCAGTGCCTGCTTTCTCGGGAGCAGTGAAGAGGAGCTGGAGCATTTGTGGATCACCATCTCTGTTTTCTTTGTTCTTTTCCTCCTCAGCATGTGCTATAGTGCCACCGTGACGCTGTTCAAAGTAAGGGCCCGGGAA